AAATTGCCAAATTTTAATCTTATGAAATGAAAATAATTTCTAAGTTCCAATATTAATTTTAGATTATGTACATAATTATTTTGCAATAAGCAATTAATTCTCAAAAATGTTACTCATGATCTCATCTAAAATTATTAGAATCTATTACTACCTTGAATAATTTTGATATTTAATTGAACCATATAACACAGAAAAAATTCTTCTATTGCTTATAAGTTATTTGGATTCAAATTTACTTAATTCAAGCAACAAAACAAATCAATTTTTTAGGCTGTTAATAAAAAATATATAGATTTATTGGCAAACATTACAAATATTACTAATAATATAATTTTAAATTTCACAAAACTGTTTATATTTCATATGATACTGTTTATACAATCCTAGCTGCAGAAAAACTAAGAAATTTGAAGAAAAGGAAAAGGATAATTTAAATTTTTATTTTATTTACATAAAAATACGATAAAATTATTGACCATCAATTGTTTATGCAATTTTATTGAAATAACTATGTTTTTACGTTTATCATCACATTGTCTTTATATTAGAAACATGTCATCAGAGTTTAGATTTTTTATTTGATTTTTTAATTTTAGACTTTAATTTTCTTTTGCACTGTAAATTTCCTTTCTTCTTAGCTTTCCAATCAACATTTCGAATCCATCTATCCCTTTTTATTTCCCACCTTATCTGTTTTTCATCTAAAAATATAATTTAAATCAACGTTAAACTTTTTAGAAAATAAAAAATTAGTTGTTAAGATTTAAATAATAAATAAATTGAAATCTAAATTAATGATAACTGCCATCTCCTTGCTCATATTATCTTCCCTTATACAATGCCAACTTCTTTTTTATGATTTACAATTTAACAATTTTTAATCACAAATAAATTATCATCTTAAACAGCAATATAATTTCAATTTCAAATGTTTTTGGTCTAGTTTATAGATCATCAGTTCTTTAATATCAAATTATAGAATATTCACTGTTATTTTTAAAAATTTGAAATTATTGAAAACATACAAACATCAATTAATCCCTAAGATGTTACAGATCATGAAACATCAAAATATCTGAGAATACAACACAAATTTTTAACTATTGCATATTTTCTTATCATGACTAGACATTCTATATCTTTAGCATTCAAGTATTCTTCATAGATATTTTGTTGATATAATTTGGATTTGTGGAAAGACATTTTATCCTGGTATGTTTCCCAAAAGAAATGTCCCATAGAAGAGTGTATGGAGAAGTATGTAGGCAAAACATCAGGGACACAATCAAGTAAAGTTAATGTAAATTCTGCTATATCATGCAGGTTTGTAATAGCATACAGGGTAAAAACTGACAATTAGTATTAATTGAATTGCCACTAAAGAAAGGATATGCTCATGAAGGGCAACATAATTCCACAAAATTTCCTTGCAGTTATTTCAGTTATGTAAAATGTGAATGAATTATTAATTTTATTTATTAAAGTATTTCATTCATTGGTATTATTAGGCTTATTGTTGGTTAATTGTATACAAAATTAGGAATTAATACTTCTCTGTCACACAAATAAGTACTTTACTTCTCTTGCTGTTTCCCCCTTTTGGAACACACTCTTATTTACATTTTAGAGCAGATGCTCAAAATGATGACCTCCCATATACAAATAGTGGAACAGTCAATGATAAAATGAAGAAACTGCAGCTCTCATAATATTGGGTGTTATTTCTTGCCACGTTTGTGAAATTTTTCCTCACAGTTCATCCATAGTTTGAAATGGTGCCTGGTAAATAATTGCTTTCAAATGTCCCCATAAGAAATCAAAGGGTGTTAGATCAGGGAATCTGACAGACCATTCACATGGGCTGTGATATCCAATCCAACACCCAAGAAATAACACACCTAAGGTATTCCTAACATTATTTGGAAATAAGTAGAACTCTATGCTGTTGATAGACCACATTGCCCATATAAAATGTGAAAATCCCAGCAGCTCGTTTCTGCAGTGCTACATCCCCAAACATTGGTTTGATTGCCACATTAAGGACATCCAAATACAGTACATGTCAGTCAGATTCTTCTCAATGAAGAAAGGCCCAATACACTTCTTGCCATAGTCATCCTATACATTTATTTTTTGTGGCATTTGAGTTTGGCTTACACAAACAGCATGGAGATTCTTAGGTGTCCAATAACAGCAATTATGTTAGTGGATTCATCCATTCAAATAGAAAGTCGTCATCAGAAAAGTGGTGGAGTAATGAAATAATCCAGGATCGTCCCGTAACAGATTTGTGAAACTTTCACAAATTTCAACCCTGTAGTCAAAATTATCCACACCTAATTCTTGCACAATAAACTAATTCATAAGGATGAAACTTGTGCCTGTTTAATATTTGACAGATAGATGTATGAGAAATTCCAACAGCAGTTTCCACTTCACAGAATTGCTGGGATTTGTTTAATGCTGAAGCAAGCACAGCAACCTCTGATGCATTACTAGTAGCTTCTCAAGGACAATGTGCTTTCTTTGCATTTCTTGCATCTCATTTCTTTGCATTTCTTGTACCATTCCTGTTCTAACAAATTTTTGATAGAGCAGCAAAATGACAAAGTGGTGTAGCTTTGGTTTATTGGAATATCAATCATAAAAAATATCTGCTGTCTGTCTAATACTGTTCCCTTGTCCATAAGTTAGAGCAAGTTACTCTTTCCTAAATGATGTAAACCAGTGTTTTTCAACCTGTGGGTCGCGACCCCCAGGGGGTTGCAAAGCCATACACAGGGGGTTGCAGGTAAAAGAAAAAGACAAGTGTTTGTAGGTCCTACACTACAATAAAAAAACTACAATTTCAGTGAGAAAGCTGTACCTGTTTATTTTATAGTACAATTGGTTTTTTGATTGATATTTAAATCTCAACAGAAAGAAAATTAAATATGTAGTTTTTAAAATTATTGACATAGTTTTAATATGGCCGTGAGGAGGGATCGCCAGAATTTTTTAACTTGTAAAGGGGCCGCGTATTCGAGAAGATTGAAAAACACTGATGTATACCATTCTGATCAAACAATTATATATATTCCAGAATTCTTGCAAGAAGTGTGTGCAAGTTTGTCTCACCTACCTTACAAAGCCTGTGTAGCAGTAACTGTTACTAACCACAATTTCATGGATTTGTTTATTTACATAAACTGAATTCACAATCAGTAGAACAGTAAGGCATGAGGTTTACAATTACAGTAACTGAACAGTCAGTGAAAACATCTTCAGATTTTTGCCACAGACTAACCAGTGAAGTAACTAGTGGTTAGCCTATAACAAAATCTGAATGTTCCCTCTGACTATTGTACTCCTCCCTACTGTAATTGTAAACCCCATGCCTTACTGCAATACATTGTGGTTAATTGGGACTGCCATTTATTTAGGACATAATTATATTGAAAGATGGAAATGAAAGTGATATTAAAAGGCAAATTTACTTTGATTATTTGGAACATACAGCCACTTTATCAGGAGAGTATATGCAGGAAAGAGGAGTACGTGTTAACAGGCCAATGTTAAAAACAAATTAGAAGAGTTAGCTACAAAGGTGGTTCACATGAATTTCAAAGCTACAGATGGGTGGTTATCATGTTGGAAAACCTGACACAAAGTAAAATTTAAGAGGGCATACAGTGAAAAAACAGTATTGTCACTATGAGTGCCAAAGAGTGGAAATCAACAAATTGCCTGAATTTCTGCAGAAATTCAACCCTGATCAAATCTACAATGTAAATGAAACAGGGCTTTTTCACCATGCCACCTCAGATGGTTCTGAGTTTTAAACATAAAGTACTGTCAAATTCAAAAAAGCAATGAATTGCACTACCATATTGTGCTGCTGTAATGTCAGGAAGTGATAAACTGAAGTTCATAGTCATTGGAAAGCTTTACAAGTCTTAAAATGGACTGTTTACCATTTGAGTATTATGGCAACAAGAATGTTGGATGACTTCCAATATTTTTTTTAAATGGCTTGTGAGTTGGGATACAGAACTGCAGAAAAAGTCAAGAACAGTTCTGCTGCTCATCTTCATGTAGTGTTTGAAAAGCACTCATCTAAAGTTTCTTCTGAATAATACCAATCCTTAATACAACCATGGGACATGGGAATCATAAAACATTTGAAAACATTGTATTGCAGAAGGCTGGAACAATACATTCTTGAAGCAATTGAAGAAAATATCTTATCATCATCTACAAAAGCAGACAAAATTAGTTCCAAGATTACTAATATACAAGCAATATAATATGTCACTGATAGTTGTTGAAAAGTAAACTGTAACACAATTTGAAACTGCTCTTCTCATTGCAGTTTTAAGATTTCATAACAGGAAATGCCCTATATAATCCATAACAATAATAAAATTGCTTATAAACTACAAAATGTTATAATTCACAAAGAATTTTTATAAATTGATAACAACCTTTCAATGTTCCAATGAAAATCAGAATTGTATACATGCAATTATTGAACAAGTCAGTTTGGAAAAACACCTAAAAATTAGAAGATAGTAATGGAGAAAATACTTATGATTAAGAGTTAGTGACCAGGAAGCCATAAAATTTATTTCCAACTAAGACAAACATTTTATGCAAGATGGAAACAAAGGAAATAACATTTCCACATTGGATGACTGTACCAATTTGTCTACTTATAGAATATACAGAAACCGCACAATATACATTCAAGATTTCTGCAAAGATAATTGTTCTTTTTTTGTTTAATGATTATATTTTAAAATATTATTTTTGAACTTGAATTTTATATATATATATATACATACATACATACATACATATAAGTATTCACTGATTAACTGATTATTAATTATATTTTTCAATAAATATTTTTATTGAAAAATATAATTAATAATCAGTGAATACTTTTATCTCAAATTTTGTTTCCTTATAATTTGTTTCATTAGGAGAGCCACTTAATCGGAACAAATTAATCAGGTACCAATGTGTCCCAATTAAGCAGAATAGACTGTATTGGTTTTGAACCAACAGTTTATGCACATAAGCAAATCCACATACTTGTAGTTAGTAATTTTTAGTTTTATTTAAATAAAACAAGTAACAAAAAAAAAAAAAATTATATTTTTGCTATTATCTGTATATCTAGAATTAAAGAGAATAAGTTTAATTCTCATAACATGCCAATTAGTTACAAAATTATGCAGCTGGGCCTATAATTGTATTAGTTAAAAGTGATTCAACCGCACATGAATTTTATGTAATTAATTTCCATTTGCAGTACTGAGATCTAAAATGATGCATTATAAAACCTGTACACTATACACTTTCCCTTAATGCTTTGCCTATAAGCTTCTCCACATAATCTTCCATGGCATGTTTCTTTTGGGAAACATTGTATAAATAGAACAATATATACATCAACCTGATTCAATTATGACTGCCAAACAAACTGCTGGATATTAAATAATCCAATAGTTCATTTAGCATTAGTAATTTAATCAGGTTGATGTATAAATTATTTTAATCTTTATTAATGCTAATTTAACAAAAACTGAAATTTTGTTTTAAAGACAGACGGTAGTGACATCATGTAATTTATAGACACATCATGTAATTTATAGACATTGATAGATAGAAATTAAAATTCAAAATTAATTTCTAATTATTAAGCTAAATTTTGATCTTAATTAAAATTAGCATTGTTACAGTCCAAAATAATCTGACAGTTCAGGCTAATGTATAAATATAAAAAATTTAGATTTATATTCATCTAAATATAGTTGACCCCCCCCCATAACACGGTAGATACGTTCTGTTCTTTATTAAATTGATGTTCTAAGAATTCTTGAATACATGAGCCAATCACAGCCCGGCACATATGCAGTTTACGGACTATGGCTGTTTGAAAAGTTTTCTTCCATAAAATTAATCGATTCTAAACTAATTTGACTCTAGAATCGATTAATTTTATGGAAGAAAACCTTTCAAACAACCATATTTCCAAAATATGTATAATTTTTTGGGAATAATCCATATAAATTATGCTATAGACAAAAAATTGTAGGATTACTTACCAAGTGTGCACCATTTGACAATGCCATTGCTTAAGCTTGTTTTCGTCGTGCGGCTTGTTAACGAATGGCGCTTGCGTGCTTTCTGATAAATTATTTTTTTTGCGAAAAATTCTCTTAACTTTGGAGACATCATTAATATAAATATAATTTTTATGGACGTTAAATAATAAATGTTCTTTAGTAGGTTCGTTGCTCGTTTAAACTCAACGGTTTGTGCAATATTCGCTATTGGTCTAGATTCGACCAATCCTGTCGCGACACGATTTGGCAATGACATTTTGCCGAATTATACGAGATTTTTTAGCGTGTTTGTACAAATACTGTTCCAATTTTTTTTCCATTATGTAGGAATCCGAACTATATGAACCCGTGTTATAGGGGGGTCAACTGTATTTTAATTACTCACGTGATTTGTCTTTATTTATTAAACTGTGCATATTCAATCCTTCTACATTACTTTGATTATCTTCCAATATACAGGAGAGCTTTAAATATTAAAAAACTAATTGTTAATTTTTAAAACAAAAATTTTTCTCATTTTTTAAAATACTCAAACTTTACCTGTTCTGCAGAGGCAAAAGCTTCATCTTTATTGCTAGCATGAAAATAATAAAAATCTATTATGAAATTATTAAAACTGATTTCAAAAATAAAATCTAATGAATTTCAACAAAAAAATAAACAAGTAGTATATAAATAATACATTTTAGTATTTAGAAAATAATATTTATATTTCATCCATTGACTTATCTTCTGAATTTAAATATATCAATATAAGAAAGCATAAAATAATCCAAAATATTTTGATGATTATCAAAAATGATCAAATTTTAATTCACAGATATTGAATATCTGTGATTCAAAATATTATTATTATCTATAATTTGAACTTAAAATTTTTAAATATGTTCAGAAATTAATTTATTGGTTCTTCTTTACTTATATACACTGTAGAGATTGTTTTATTAAATTCCAAATTCAAGAATTTCCTAAAATTTTCTAAACATTCTTTTGAATTGATGAAATGTATATTTTGATGATTATTGTAATAAATTTAACTAATAAATTATAAAGCTCTTGTTCCTTTTTTGTCCACAAATATTTTAAACTTATTTTCAATAAATACATTTTTTTAAATTAAAAAATTACCTGTCTACTTTCTTTGTAGCCAATTTTCTTCTTTTAGAATTGCTTTTTGATACTGGAATATCTAAATAATAATAATTATTATTATTATTATTAATACAAACTATGAAATATATCCCACAATATTTTAATTTACCATTTATATCTGTAGTTTGAATATTTTCTAAATCACTTTCAAAATCTTTAAATGCTTCATTGAACTCATCATCGTCATTAAAATCATATTCATCATCATCGTCGTCATCATCATCATTACTATAACTTTCACTTTTTCTCTTCTTTCGTTTTTTTGTTTGTTTCTGATCAGAAATATCAGCAGCAAAATTGAGTTCATCTGATTTAAAGCCAGGTTCAAATTTATCCAAAAGGGCTTCAAAATCTTCACTGGCAACACTTTCCACATCTGAATCTTTATCTTTCTTTTCATCCTTTTGTTTGAAATTATTGGTTTGGAAATATTGATAAAGAAACTTTTCTTCTGGCCGAGCATTATCAGAATTTGAAGAATTAATATTTAAAGATTGTTGTTTTAATTGATGTTGACGTCCAAATATTTTTTGGCGTTCATTTTCACAAGGAGATAGTTTTGATTTCTTTGGATTTCGGTATACAAATTTATCAAGAAATTTGATGAGTGTAAAATCATGCAATGGATCACCATCATATTCAATGCATTTACCTTTTAGTACCTGCTGGCTAAAAACACTTACTGATGGATGAAAATGTTTTGTTAACAATGTTAATTCCCATGGAATACTATATTCAGCACCAGCATATAATGGATTTCTGTGATTAGGATTATAAAGTTTTGATGCTGTGCATCCATGTACTTGAAGATTATTTCGATGCAACCAAGACGAATTTTGTTTTGAATTAGATTTAAAATTAGACTCTTTTGTTCTTTCTTCATTCTAAAAAAATTTAAAGTGAATAATTATATTAACAATCCATCTTACATTTAATTATACACCTCATCTAATTTAACATAACTTTTCTTTACCATAAATTATTTAAATTTATGTACCTCTGATACATCTTCATAATGTTCATAACTGTCATCATCCTCACCATCATCACTACTAGCAATACTAATATTATTACTATTTAGAAGATTTGGATGTTCTTTCAATAACTGAGATACGAGAATTAAAGTACCACACACAAGACCAGGAGCTTGATATTCACAAACCTTTAAAAAACAACAGTTAAAAATTAAATAATGTTATGAAAAATTATCAATAATATAATAAATTATTTATAAGAATGTAACTACAATTCTTGTAATGACATTACAAAAATGATATATGTATGTATAATCAACAAGCAAAAAAATGTTTAACTTCTTAAATCTGTGCAGTTTAAGATGTGCATTTGTTTGTTTGTTTATATAAGGATCCAAGTTTAATGTAGTATTCTATAAATTTAATGTATACATAGTAAATTGTTTTAATTTGTTCTATATGTTTTCTTTAATTTCAGAAACAGATACTATTTCTCATAAGTAGGTAAATAGGTATAATTTCTTGCAGATATTATTTTCATAACTGAAACACCTTGAGCACATTTTAGGAATCATTGTAGCTGCTTCCTCTAAGTGCTTTCCAAGTCAAATTAGTGATTTCACCTTACATTTAAACCGCCTCTGTTTAAGTATGTGAGTGCAAGAAAATTCATCAGACTTCCATCACATGGTCTAACTAGAATGAGGCTGTTTTTGATTATTTGAATGGCTTTCCTAACCTTGAGGTCATCCATATTCAGTTGTGAACTTCAAACAACAATTAACACCTCAATACCACTTCCAGCAGTCAAAAGATTTTAATAATCTAACGTTTTCGGCCGTCTTTTAGAGGCCCTCCTCAGGATGAAACATTAAAAAACAGTTCTATCTTTTGAAGGATTCTAATAATCGAATACAGCTGTGTTCCAAACTTTTAAATATTTAAACGATGCGTACGATATAAAAATCGTTACGCTTACAACACAAAAAAATTTTTATTTTAAAATAATGCTATACATAAATTATTATTGTAGAGTTGTGAAAATTAGCACGGTGTAAACGATTTGTTTTACAATACTGCTATACATCAATTATTATTATATAGTTGTGAAAATTAGCGTGATGTAAACGCTTTGTTTTCTTATACAAAGCAGAAAGATTAAAAATAATTACACATCCGATTATTGTTGTGCTTTGTGGCAATGTAAATAATATTTCCACGATTGTGGAATCGGAATATAAGCGGAGTTGATGCAGTCTCCCTTCATGGTTTCTATATAAATCTCAATAGCCTCCAACGAGCGTAAGTCGTGTCGGTCGAAGACCCTATGTACAAGAGTAGCCTCATCCCAACATGGGGAAATCCCGGGTTTGGTAGCATACCGTGCTAGAGCAGTACTATACTTCTGCTTCGACACATCATATTTGTGGTTCCGTTTTCGGCCTCTAAAAGACGGCCAAAAACGTTAGATTATTAAAATCTTTTGACTGCTGGAAGTGGTATTGAGGTGTTAATTGTTGTTTATAGTTATTAATGTTTATTTTATTATAGTATTAGTGTATATAACTGTACAGCTTTGAATTATAATGGATTATTAAATTATACAGAATAGGATGTTTTTTATGCAGATTTTGTTTTAAAAATTTATTAATTTATTTTATCAATTAAATAATTAATTTATTTCCAGGTTTTCATTTGAGTGCTACGGTTACACCACCTCAGACCTTGGGAGTTTCTAAAGGTTCATACAATGTAGCAGTTACATTTGACAGACGTCGAATTACTAAATGCAACTGTACATGTGGTAGCAATGCATCTTGGTGTGCACATGTGGTGGCAGTCTGCTTATATCGCATTCATCAGGTAAAATAATGATTTAAAATTTTTATGAATTTTTAAAAGTGCATATTGTTATATTTTCAGGAAAGTTATTAGTTATTATTTTATTTTATTTCAGAATAAATAAAATGTGAATACAATTTAATAAAACAATTAAATTGAAAGAATAAAGCATTTCTCCTATTTTACAATATTTATATATTCAGAACAGTTATAATCTATGTAATTACTGTATATAAGACCAGGAAATATATTAAAATAATTGTAATATACATTGAAAATGCTTGTTAAACTTATATCTTTCTAGAAGGTAATATAAGTGCACTAAATCAAAAAAATTTTTAAATTATTTATTAATATTTTTGAATATCTAACTGATTTTGAATTTTATTTTAAAAAATAATTTAAATCATAAATCTTTAAAATCCATCATTAATTTTTTTATTGGACAAACATTTGGGGGCTATCTATAAATTACATAATGCAGATATGGATGGGTGGGGTGTTTACAAAAACATTATGTAATGCTAGAGTCTTTAAATTGACTTATTTGTTAAATATAAAGGGATTAAACTATTGGTAGTATTTTGCTAAATGGTTAAAACATCTTAGATATGGCTATAATGTTTATTGTCTAATTTGCCAAAAAAAAAAAAAAAAAAAAAAATT